CATTAGTTGCTACTTCTATAAGAAAGATTTCATGAGTAGCATCTCTTGAAGACAATGGATGACCATCTATGACTTCTACATGAACATGTTTAGTTTTCTTCACTAAAAGTATGCTATGTCTTTTAGAAAATTCTTCATCTAAAAAAGATGCTAAGGCTCCTAAATCTAACAAGGCAGAGGCTTTGTGATGTTTAGGTCTTCAAATAATATTTATTGTAAAACAAGGAGAGGGTTCTGAGAAGAGAATAGGACCTTTACTAGGTGTTGTATAAGGTTCCAGCTGCATGGTTCCTATTGTAGCTAAACAAACTCGTTTTCCAACATACTATCTTCTTTGATAGCCATACTCCTCATTTTATGGTTGTGTGGCTTCTTTGAGTAATGTTGAGCAGTGTACTTAGGTTCTCCACAATATAAGTACCATCCTTCTTGACGATAATATGTCTTTTCTTGCTCAATAAGAGGTTTGAAATGTACCACATCAATTTGTATATCCTCTACTTTTGAATGTATGTGTTGAAGAGATATTGGAGTTGCCATTGAATTATAATAACGTTGAGGTCCACTTGTACGATTCTCAGATCAAAATTTAAAAAGACGATTGTCGCACTTCATAGCAAACTCAATTGCTTGACTCAATATTTGAGGATTAGGTAAGTTGAGCATTAATTTTTTATTTCATATTGTAATCTATAGAGAAATTTGCTATCAAGTGCAACATCATCTTACTTGATATCAGTTACAAGTTGTCAAAACTAAGAAATATACAATGTTACTGATCAATTGCCTTCTCGTAAAATATGGATCTTACTGGTTGTGACACAAATTGTATCATATTCTCCATACATGGATCGAAACTCCGCCAAAAAAACCTCCAGATTATCCAATATTGAATCTCGTCATTCAAAAAAAAATGAAAACCATGATAATGTTGAACTTGAAAGAAGCGTATCAATAAATCTAATTTACAATCCTAAAATTGGATAGCTTTGGGATTGAAGTTCAATCACAAGTTGTACTTGATTGATAAATCCTCTAAACTTTAATCTAATGCCATCAAATTTCTCAAATAGGACAATTCTTGGTTTTCTAATACTGAAAGGGTGTTCCACTATAGCAGAAAGAATATGATTTAGTACAGATGTTGAAGCAACTCCAATCATTTCTATATCTTCACTTCCTGCTAATCTTGTTGTTCCTTGTGGTGGTAAATTGAATTGATGGATTGCAAGCATTAACTCCCTCAATTGCTCTTACATTTGTGCCATTACACTCTTTATTTCAGCAAGTTCTGTCATAATAACACTTAGAAAAGAAAAGATGTTTAATATTGCTCAAGATTAATAGAAGAGAGGACTTAAAAACAAAGAAAATAGTAAGAACAATATCAGTTTAGAAGAGGGTAATTTGCAACTTCTAATACACTTATGTCTTATCAAGAGAAAGGGATAATCTATTCTTAATCAAGATTAGACAAAGCTCTGATATTGTAAGTGTGTTCTTGTCAATCTGTCAAAGACAGGAATTTGATAAAAACAAATAAAGAAGTGAGACTTTTTTCAAAAAAAGATGACAAAATAGAAATAACTAAATATTTATATTAAGAAAGAAAGTGGAATGGCTATTGTCAAAAGACAAGAAAATTAGAGACCTTTGAAACTAGACTAGAGTAAGAAAAAATTTGATAAAAATAAAGAAGGCTTCATTCTTACCTTTATATATATTATCTATTTAGGAGCTACATGGCGACGTTCTGTAGGACCTCCAAAAATGTGTTGACTTTATACAATACTTATCTTAAATTGCAAGGCAAGTATTATATGTAGGCGCCACATAGTTAGTTTGTTCTACAAGCTACCAACATGTGTGGCAAGTGGTTAACTTGATGGCCAAGTTTTTAACCTACCAATCAAGTATAAATACTTGTAAAATCAAAGCAGCATCTATGAAGCTTCTAGGAAGCTTTTCTAGAAGATATTATGAAATTAATCTACTTTTACATACTTCTACCTATTCATATCATATAGGTAATAATTACAATAAATATATATCCATGACAATAAGTCATATAATATAATGGATATATCAAGAAAAAGACAAATGTCAACCTCTTCTATAGAAATAAACAATAATCAAGAATTTGAGATTGAAGAAGACTTTAGCTCAAGGCAGTGCGAAAATAATTTAGAAAATCTTGTAAATTGATATGGATATGATATTAATAAATGTATATAGAAGCTATGTAAAAATCTTGTAAATGCACAAAAGAAGGTTGATACTTTTTATCAACAATATCCATCAAAACCAAGATGACAAGTCAAAAAATTATTATTATAAAATAAACAAAGTTTAGTAGAAATTAGATTTTATTTTTAATCTGTATTTGTGATATTTTTAAATTTATAATGCTAATATGATAAAGAAATAATAACAAATTTATTTAACTCAAGAACTATTACTTATTGAATTACCTAATGACACATTAAAATTATTACAACCTTAAAAAAGACATAGTAAAAATAAAGATCTTTTAAAATGATATGTTCTTTTTTAAATAGATTATAAAATTCAAATTTTTGATATCACAGCCTTAGAAGAGACTCCCAATACTTGGTGATATTATTAGAGATAGAAACTATTCTTCATGGTGTTTTAAATATTTTAATTAAAAGAAGTTATGAAGCCTCCAATAATAATCAAATATCAAGGTAGTCTTTATGCCTTAGTAAAAGACACTATCAATAATTGAAATGATCCATTAACTATCTTTGAATGGAACAAAGATCAAAGTATATAGCAAATATAATTTGTTGCATTTCATATTTTTTCTACATGTGATTATAGCTTCTTGTGGAACTTTTTCCTAAAAGGAGAAATAATATCATAGACATATATAATTATCTAGATAAGAAGTATTAAGTAGAAAGTAAATGAAAGTAAATTTGTTAATATCTTATGGAATAGCTTTATAGAAGCTTCGTAGATGCAATTTTGACTTTAGACATGTTTGTAATTAATTAATAAGTTAAAAATTTGGCCAATAAGTTGGATACATGTTGCATATGTTGGCAACTTATTTTACAATTTTGTCACATATTGTACATGTTGATCACTTATTTTATAAGTTGGCCATATAACATATATATGTCAAATAATCTATAGAATGTTGTCACATAGCTCTTTAGTTAAATAGTACATATGGATGCAAGATTAAAACCTTCTTTATTCTTATCAATATTTTTTTTATATTTCTAACTTAATGCAAGAATATTTATTCTCTTTGTATTTGGAAATAGCCATTTTAGTTTTTGTCTTATATCTATCTTTGGTTTATTTATTTTTTTCTCTATAAGTGATATAAGAGTATATTGCTTCTTTAAATTTTTTTACAATTCATGTCTTTGATAGTAAAAACTTTACTTAAATTTTTAACCATTTAAGATTGCAAATAAAGATATAAAATAAAAAAAAATTAAAAAAAAAAAATCACAATATATAAATTAATACCCTATTGCCATTACATTACAATATAGTTGCATCATTTAGTACAACCCTTTTAAAAAGAAAGATAGAAGAATAAATTTATTCTTCAATTTTATTAAGTTGGAGTCCGAAGCATCAAGTGCTTCTTAAAATTTGCAATATAGATAGTTTTATAAATCTTTTTAGTTTTTTCAAATCAACTTGAGGCAATTTTGATCCATACATGCATGTGCATCCATCATATATTGTCAGAAGAATTGGCAAGCTTAAAGGAGCAAGGTTTCACCTATATACATCTAAAGTATGTAATTATGAAATTATAATTGAATTCTACTCTCAAAACTATCTTCACCTATCACACAACATCTTCACCTTTAATTATAAATGGTCTTCTATTTGATTTTAAAAAGTGATATAAAAAACAATACATGTATAATTAAAAATTAAGAATTACAAATCATATATTTAAAGCTATCAAGCTATTTTTTAAGTATTTTTTTAATATAATACTTTAATTATTAATTTTTCTAAATTTAATTTGAATTAACTAATACATAAATATAAACATATATAATTATTTATAGATTTCTAATATATTATTCTAGCATTATATAATCTTAGGTCATAAACATAAACATATGTAATTATTTATGTCATATTTACTTAGAATAAAGCTTACAAAAACATAAAAATATAGATTTACAAACTTTAAAATACTAAAAAAAAATAATTTAAATGCATTAAAATTTGATTAAATATTTTTAAAATTACAAATTTTATAATTTAAAAAATTATTCATCTATAAATTCAATTTTATGAATAAAATGTGAAAACATTTGAAGTACAACAAAGTAATATCTTTGTTAAAATAGCTTGTAGACAGGTATATCTTTGGTCATTGCAAGCTTTATTCTAAGTCAATCATTTAGTGAAGCAGACAGAAGTCCAACAAATGGCATTTATTAATTCATAACTAATTCAATTTATTTTATTCAAAGCCAATAGTGCAATAGAATTTTTATAGGTATGATGAATTTTGTTGACAAACAAATTCTCAAACATAGTAAAAAAGATAAGGCCTTAGAAAGCTCGAAGCAACTCAAACATATCAAATGACTTTCCAGTTTGGTTCCTCATAAAGAAATAAACAACCACTCTAAATGACGCCTTAAAATGATTCATGCAAGGAGTTGAACAAGATACAAATGAGGTGCCAAAAAATAGGCAACATAGAATCAAGAAACCACGTCTTTAGCAAATGATGTGTTCAACATACTGTGATGCAATGTTTCACATGTACAAATTTGAAGCATGTAATAATAGTAAAATTGTAATTGAGTTGTTGAATCAATTAGAACACAACTATAACCACCTCCTCATCCTAAAGTGTTTTCGTAGACAGACGTAATTCTAATATCATAATTTATATACATAATTCAATTGAGAATTCAAGTAGTATTAAATATGCAATAAAGCCATCGACACCCTGAACCTACAAAACCACTCACAGAATCGAGCCAATTACAAGCCACAACCCTATTCACACATAAATCCACATTGCGACAATTGTCGCTCGAGGCTTCGGCCGCGAGCTTGTGCTGTGCACAGTCGAAAATTGGGTGGCGATGCTGGTTGCGATGGTGTGCTGGTGGTTTGGATTTGCGTCGTCTTCTACAGGTGTTCAGTAATCTTAGTTGGGTCCCGAAGTTCTCTTGCGATCGGTACGAATTTGTTGAAAAGTTAAATTCTTTCACTTGCGTCTCAAAAGCTGCGGTTCGTTGTTTGTGTTTTTTAGGTTGCGAGGATTGCTAGATTGTTGTTCAAGGCTTCGGAACCGCTTGCAGTCGACAAGATTGTGGGAGCTTTTAGCGTGCAAGAGTAGTTTTGGAATTAGGGTTGTGTGGGGAATGCAGGGTAGGGGTTGAATAAGGAGAGTGGAGTGATGTGGCGATGGAGAGCGAGGGGGAGTTTCTCGCGGATGCTCCACAATGGACCTGACACGTTGGAGGAGCTGGTGGAGCGTCATGTTGTCAAGGGAGGGAAAAACGTTTCTAGCGCTGGGTTGACGACGTCACGACGTGAAGCACTAGCGCTGTATCGCGAGATTCTGCGCACCACGCGACTCTTCACGTGGACGAATGAACATGGCGTGCCCTGGTATTTATACTCCTCATCAGTTCATTGGGAATAAGGATTTCATAAGCGTAGAGGAATTCTCGCACTAGGTTAGAAGAGAAGCTTTTATCGAGGTTTAGGGCTTTGCTACATCGCATTACTGGTGAGATAGAATCTGGAATTTTTTTTTGATATGGCATGTGCCAGTGGTTCAGGTCGGTGTTTCAGCTGTGTTTGCATTAGGTTTATACCAAGAAACATCTGGTGCAAGAGAAGTTATGTTCGGTTCTTGTTTGTGATACCAGGAGAGATCTCCTGCGGGACAGTACACGGCTGGAATTTGAGCAAGCGAGATATGAGACGGATCCTGAAGTTGTGAGTTTCATCAGATTATAACAACTTATTCAGTTTCAAATTTAATGGGTGGGAGGAGAGGTTTCCCGTTGATATACAATTTGTTCATGCGACCTTGTATGAAACTCTTTGTGACATTAACAATTGGCGCTTCCACGCATTTGGATTGCAACAGCTTGAAATCCAGAGACCAACAAATTTGTCTATTCCGAGTGTATCGAAGGATAACTGACAAATGTTTACCATGTGATGCAGATAGCCAGGTTGCTTGTTGTGGGAAGGGACGCAGTTCAAGCTGCCATTGAGAAGGTGTTGTGCTTTTCTTATGTATTTCTCTTTATTGTCAGCGATTATTGCTCTGTCTGAAGTGGGTGGTTTCCAAAGGAGGTTTCCAAAGTATGTTGAAGAATCTCGCTCTAGCCTTAGCAAGTCTCTATCTAATTTGGGCTCTACATTGGGTACTAGATGCGTGGCCTCGTAATTTCTAACGTCGTCATTCACATACCTGATCATTTGTCTGTGAGAGGTTACCTAACTAGATCGAATTCGTTGTTGCTGCTTGGGCCAGTTTTCTGTGAAAGCAGAGGAGTTGATCAAGAAAGAAACTGCACCAAATTCGAATCCGCGCCCAGATAGGTGGGATTAGTTAGTTTACATCAAAACGTGAATGATCTTGTGCATAATAGGGAAATTTCATGTAAGACACTCGGCATATTGTCTTTGTCTTTGTCTATTGTATTGATGTGCTCGGTGTTTGATCTTCCGAATATGAAGTCATTTTTTCAGAAGATTCGTTGATTTAGCGAAGAGTGCATGAATTTCATTTGGTACTGAATGAAAACATGTTGAAAGTTTATCCATCTCGCATGAATTTCGGCGATTTATACTGTGTAATTACGCTGAAATAGTTCAAGTTTGTGGCCCCAACTCTGCAACTGTCAGGCTTCCGAGTGTGTGGTCAATGCTAAGTGATCTAACTATTGGGATGAAACATTGCATCAAACAAGTTATTGAAGCATGCCTGAGGCTACAAAAAGATGGTTAGAATATGCAAGTTGCGTAGAAATAAATATCGAGGATGTAGTTTGTAGTAGAGCTTGTAGGATTTGACCTTTGTTTTATGGCTTTGCTTCATTCACAACTCTTAATGAACAAGGAAGAATTTCATGTAAGGACTGCGGCTGCCTGCCACTATCAATTCAACTTGAAAATTTGTCATCTACCCTGGAATTTACAGGGAAGTGGGTATGGACCTTGGAATGGCATTTAATATATTTATTAGACACTGCTTATTTTATATAAACATTGACATTCAAAAAGTATGGGTCTTCCAAAACGCAATATTTTAATGAATGTTATATCTGAAATAGACTTGAAGTGATTACTTGGTAGAAATTTATTCAAACTGTCTTTTGCTCAAACTTCTACACTAAAAAGAAGGGGAATGTTAAATAGACCCAAGTTTTTATTAAATTGACCCACCCATCTTAACCATCATCCTATCTTAACCATGAAGAAAAAAAAAAATGGCCTCTAAATTCATTTCTCTACTACTAGATTTGCAACCTATAAAAACCAACCACATTCATCATGATTACTATATTCTTCATCAAGAGTGGGTCTATTTAATACTCCCTAAAAAAAAGTGGTATATTAGAGAAGAATAACCTTTTTTAATTTATTATTTAATACTAGTATCTTTCATCAATTCTTTTTAGATTTCTTGTATTGTGACAATGATTAATAAATTCCATAAAAATTCTTCAAAATAAAAGGTACTTTTTAATATTATTTGTATGTTTTTGACAATATGGAGAAAATGATTTTTTTTTTGTATATTACTATTTTTATTTTTTCCTTTTATGATGGTAAAATTATATGTTTGCATCATAAAGTACTTTGAGATGTAAAAATATATATATATATATATATATATATATATATCTGTGCACATACACATAATTGCAGATATTTTTCCATATAAATAAGATAGTCTAATGTATAGTAGTAATACCAATAGAACAAGTTGGTTCTTAATTTTAAACTACTAGTTGCATGATATTGGTGGCTATTATATTTAGTAGTCAAAGAATTTTATCATTATTAAAGCAATGATAATATTGTTGAAGATTGTAATATAGCAATAGTGTTTTATTAAATAATCTATGTTGCTATAGTTAAAAAATAACTTGATAAGTTTTAGTTGTAAATTTACAAATTCATAAACTACAATTAGAATTTATGGTTTTATAATCTTAAATTTGATATTATTAGTAGATTGTATTAAGACAATTCTAAAATGATAAAGTTAAAAATAACTTATCTAAATCATCTATTCATAATTAAATATGTTTGTATGTCTTATTTATAACTAAGCTATTAAATTTTTATAAATAGTAATAATTTTATAGTAAATCATTTAGAGAGGTAATAATATAAGTAAAAAAAATATATTATTCTAGTAGTACAAAGTTATCATGTTTTTATTTTTTATTTTTTATTAAGAATATAATATAATTATGTAGATTTCTAAAATTAAATTATTTGATTTATTTTAAATTAATTTAATATTTAATTATTATTAGTTACAAATTAGATAATAGGTTGATAATTATGCAATTCTATTTTGATGAAAAAAATATTATTATTGATGAAAATTAATAATTGAATGCATTTTGAATGAAATAAATAGCTAATCATAAAGGCATCAAAAAAAATAATTTTTTGTTCATTTTTATTTATAATTTAGAATTTACAATTTTTTTTTCTATTAAGTACATTTTTTTGGTAAAATAAAAATAAAAACTACATTGGATAAAATTGATTCTAAATGTAATTAAAGATTAACTAATATTATCCAAAAAAACCAACAACCAAAAAATATGGTTATTGTTAATGTATGACTATATGTTGTGATATGAAATATATAATTAAATAATAATAATAATAATAATAATAATAATTGCAGTAATTAAAAATTAAAAATCACAAATTTAAATCTTTTATGATTTTCAAATGTTAGTATATGTAAAATATTATTACATCAAAAAGAATATATAAAATTGTTTATGTATGTAAATCATATAATTGTAAAATTTCCCAAAATATTAGATATAATATTTTTTCACTTGTGCCTCTTTTTTTACTAGAATCTTGGTAATAGCTATAGTCATAATTATTAATGATATGACAAGGACTTCAATACATCTAGTCCAATTTTGTAGAAACAATGACTATTTGATTAGAGAATTAAATGAAACAATTACTATTGTAGTAGCTCTTGTTTCTTTCTCAATAAGTCATACTCAAGATTTATTTTTTGACAAAGTAATGTATTTAAAGAAGAAAACAAAAATTTAGATAAAACATAATATTATTCATAGCATAGTTTATAACAATCAAGTCTACAAAATCGCAAAATCCTTGTACATGTTAGAACATGTGTACATATACGAAATTTTTTTAATAAAAATATCAATGAGATCAACAAAAGATTTGTATCTCTGTTTTGCAATATTACCTTACAATATAATTTTGCTTAAAAAAATAATGTTCTTAAATTGATTCACTGATGCAAATGTTTTTGTAATCACACAAGGCAAAATATTGTACTTGTAACATCCTGCCTCTACGGTAATACAATCTATTACAACATAGGCTTAATTTTTTATTTTCAATACAACTATCCAACGAGTTTCATTAAAGCGCTTTATAAAAGGAATAATAAACAGAATAAATGGATGAACAGAATAAAGAGATGAAAACGACAACAACGATGAAATGGTTTCTTCATCCTCGAACCCAGTCCGAAGCTGGCAGGTTTTGGTCCGAACCTGGAGGTTCGGAATCTCCCGGAAAACCTAAACCTGCCGCTGTTGCTCAGGATCGGTCTTTTCCAACACACAGTTGTCGAGGCCTGCGTCCGGAGCAGAGGAGCGAGACTCTACCGCAATCCAGCCATCATGAAGTTCTCTCCGCGTAAGTCTTGAATGCCTGAATTTGTGTTTCAACGCGGTCACTGGAGAGTGATTAGAGCCCGAATGGACTTGAAACCTAGGTGCTTGTGCTCGATAAACTGGTTGCCTCGTCCTCCGGAAACATTGTTCGATTCTGTGAGTTTTTTGTAGGGTATGTCTTCTTTCTTCGACTGGCTACGCGTTCGGTACTCGTTGCATGGCGGGAAAGTTCTTATGCCGATGTTTAAGTGTCGACGGTTGACCCCTTGATTCGTAGTTGAAAGGTCGTGTTTAGATTTAATATTGTAGTACACGTCCTCACAGACGAAGCAGTTTTGAGGTGATGAAGGTAATGTTGATTCTGTTTCGTTGGCTAGAATTAAGCCCTAATGCGGAAGAGCTACTTTAGGGTTTAGCTGCCGTCGTGGATTGTTACGAAATTTTTCATGCAAGTTCCCTGTTTGTCATTCCGGTTTGGCTTGAGGGTTCTGGGTTTTTGTTTCCGGTATCGATTGCATTTATCCCTGACCTAGATATTCTTCGTTTGATTATGATAGTAATTCTTGTATACCCATTTACTAAAAGGTGATGTGAATGTGTTATGAAGACCTGGTTGCGAGCGTGTATGCGTATGTTCAACGCCGGAATTGACCTTCATGACTGCACTGTTGATTAGATTTGGATTGATTGATACCGTACTTGACCTGGGTGGTAACAATGCAACTCCCGGAGTTCCATGATTTTTTGCTGTTTTGGAACCTGCGTTGCATCTTTTTAACTTTATCTTCGTTGAAGATGCTGTTTATTGGTGCATCATGACATCCCAACTTTATTGGCTTTACAACTGCATAGATTTCCTTGTCTTAATGTGCAGGTGTGAGCAGCTCTAGACGCAAGTCGCGGAAGGCACACTTCAGTGCCCCTTCCAGCGAACGCCGCATTCTTATGAGTGCTGCCCTTTCAGCAGATCTGAAGAACAAGTACAACGTATGTAATTATAAGAGTTTGTTACACCTTAAGTTGCGATGAACTGTCCCCTATTTTTTACACTCTCCCGATGAAATCATCTCTTGAATATGAAAAGCGTTTCCAGCGGCTTTTTAGATTAGGTTTTCACTTGATTACTATGCTACTGGAAGTTGTTTTGATCACCATCACTATTCATCTCAGGTACGATCTGTTCCTGTAAGGAAGGATGACGAGGTTATGGTTGTCCGAGGCACATACAAGGGCCGGGAAGGAAAGGTTGTCCAAGTGTACAGGCGTAAGTGGGTGATCCACGTTGAGCGCATCACTCGTGAGAAGGTCAATGGTATGTTTCTAATTCCCTAAACGTGCAGTAAGATGACCTCACAATTTGATCTTTATTACTTTTCCAACTACTATCCATTTCTTCTCTCATGTGATCTCATAATCATCTATGGTACTCTAGATGTATCGAATCGTCAGTATCATCTCATACTTTGTAACGTGATTCTGTAGGCGCAACCGTGAATGTTGGCATTGACGCATCAAAGGTGGTGATTACTAAGCTCAAGCTAGACAAGGATCGCAAGGCTCTTCTTGAGAGGAAGGGCAAAGGTCGTGCTGGTGACAAGGGCAAGGGCAAGTTTACCGATGCTGACGTTGCTCCTCCTCTACAGGAGGTTGATTAGATTTTGTTAGTCCAGACTTGAATGGGTAATTTTTTCCTATGAACGCGACTTGCCTGCTGGCTCTTTAAGCTAGTCCCTTTCAGTTTTCGTGGGACAAGTTCTTATTATCCCCATCGTCTCACAGTTCTTCGATGTATGAATGCGCTGAATGATATGAGTTCGTGATTGTTGCCGGATATCAGATTGTTGGTTCTATGACTGCTGTCATGTATCGTATCAACATATCTCTCCATCGAAACGCCTTCCAATATGCTTGTGATTCGAAAGCCCGATGTTGCTCTTCGGTGCATTTGTTGCGCTCCGCATGTCACCTGACCCAAATATCAAATTTGAATGGAAATTTAATACAATCACCAAGTGTGTTGTCCTGTTTGGACGTCCCTGAATTTGCATGTGGCATTTTTCTGCGGTGTTTTAACAGGGATGGATATAATTCTGACGTCCCGGCCCCGCCCTTTGAATAGCATATGCGGAAATCTGTTAGTGAATGGCACTGCAGGAATGTTTCCACCACACTGAATCGAAAAATAGTAAAGTCCATCTGTTCATGACATGAATACAAGCTCCAGTTTCTTCAGAGCAAGAAGATCCTGCTATCGGATTGCTTGTTTCAGACAAAGGAGAGACTTGGCTCTAATTGGATGTCACAAGCAGACATGTGTAAACGTCCTGATGCATGGGATGACTCCAAGTGCATCCTACATTGTGTATTAATAGAATGATGTGTCCTTGGAAGTAGACAACAGCTCTTTCCCATATAATCATGAAGTTGAAACATCCCACCTGACAGTAATGTACAAGCTTTCTTGCAGAGGCCCTTCTGGATGCACACCCAGTGTGAGCCTCATCTCCTTGTATCCACAGGCCAACCTGCAAAGCTACTGTCCCAAACTGTTTTTTTCACCATGGGAGAAGAAGCAGTAGCCCTTAACCTGCAATGTCCAGGTCCATGGGGTTAGGGCAACTCTGGTACCAGCACCCACCCAGTGGAATCATGGGCTGAATCTCAGAGCAGGTTTAGTCTGACCACATCTTGCAAAGCCAAACCCTAAACCCAAGAGATTAAGCTGGTTGCCCTTCTGTAGTCTTGGGGACAACCCCATTGGCCATGAAGAAGCAAATGGTTGCAGCTCCAGACTGTGAAGGAGATCATGCAAAGCCAAATTGTCTGGGTGCTGAACATGATGTGAAGGAAGTGGGCAGTCTGAGGTGTTGTGGCTGTTGAACTTATCCCAATACAGGCAACACAAAAGGGATTCAAACTTGTGCACTTGAGAGAAACCCAAGTGGTGGATCATGCAATGAGTCACATTGCAGGGCAAAAAACATGCTGCAGAAAGAAAGGCAGTTGACTGGTGCAGTGAGAAGTGGGTGGTGAATGGTTGGGCTTATGTGACTCAGGAAGGCTTTCAGGACCCTTTTTTGTTCTTCTTCTTCTTCTTCAGCTTCAGTTTTTTTTTGTGGGGCTCACATGAAGGATTGAGGAAGAGAGCCCTGGCCCTGGCTTTGAGTGTACAACATTCTGTAAAAGATTGTCTTTTCCATGTTTGTGTGGAATCTAATAACTAAGGAGCAATGCATTCTAGTATTCTTTATTCCTCCAAGATGTCTCGAGTTTTTCTTCATTTATTTATTCTGTTATTATTTTTATTTATTTATTTTACTTTTTTAAATATTACTCAAATGCTGCTTCTCATGGAAAGTATTATTGTTGTCAATTGCTTGTAATGAATTTTGGTTTATGTGGATATTGCAATTCACTACATAAAGGATGTGTTTGTAAATAATCTGTAGTTCAAAACTAGGTCATGTTGGTGATATACTGGAATTGCATTATAATCTTCAATGATATGTAAATATGTGTGTAGCATGTATGTGAAAAGATATATATATATATATATATATATGTATACATATCTTTGAGTCATAATTGAACAATTTATATTAATCAAACTGGAGTTTCTGTTTTCCCTTTTCTTCTTTTCTGGTTGTTGATTGATATTAGTATTATGTGGTTGCTATTATTATTGATCACAATATAATTCTTTATGTGGTTTTACTTATAATTTTTTTGTGGGATAAATACTATATATATATATATATATATATGGATGATCACCGACTGAGATTTTATTAGGTATCATTATAAAATATTAAATTTAAATACTCTTTGAATTGTATTCCAAATACACACATATGTACATGTTTACATACATACATACATGTAGCTTGTGCATTGAGGAAACCTCATTCATCTAGGTTTTAGTCTTCAATGTTGGAAATAAAAATTGGTATACGGGTTACAGTAGAATACTTACATTGTCACATGTTTAATTAAAGGAAAGGGGCAAACTTTAGATCATATGTATATCAGATGTATTTAGTGCTAAGCTCCATTGCATTTCTGTTTGGCAGCCTCTGATCAGTCTGTCGCCTTCGTTTGTTTCCACTCACATATCTTGATACCCTAATCCTAATATCAGATCATGACTTCATCTCTGTTGATCAGACACTGAGTCCCACATTCATAGATGTCATCTTTTGAGATACTATTGAAGAAGAGCCTCTGTTGATTATTTCTTATTCTCTGCACAGACTGTGATGTGAAAGGATGGCAATAAAAGTAATATATATATATACATATATATATATATAATCAAATACAGGAAATATATATATATATATATATATATAATCAAATACAGGAAATTACTGTGTACTTGCTCCGACCAAGTCAATGACATGAATTGCGTTATGAGTTAGGATTTGCACCGAGGGAAACCGAAGATCAGCGGGCAGCTTGAAAAGTGCTGCCCAGGTAAACAACAACAACAAAAACAACAATGTACATAAGTATGTTTTCTTATCTAGAAGTTTTGTACTTGTACTAGATTATTGATTTCAATTCTCATGCAATGTTTCTGGTACTGGAGAACAATAATTACAAAATGTGGACATAATGTTTCTATATTTTAGATGCCAAACTGAAACTTGCATGAAAGTGCTCAAAATCCATCCTTAGTGTTTAATGTTTTTGTTTTTTTACTTATACTACACAACACATTAGAAAAACATTTAGCTTTTGTGTTTTAAAGACACCATTGAATAGTTACCATGGAGTTCAAATCATTGGTGGTTGTAAGACTTTTAGAAATGAGATTGTGGCCCATGAGTCGTGGTACCCACTTTTTTCAAAAACGCAAAAGGTTAATGTGGCAGGTTCCAAATGAGGGCGGTATTACCACGGATGACCAGAGAAAAAGCTTCCGACACGTTATCATCCTTTCTCATACTTTTCACCCACAGGTTGCTTTCTATGCTTCAACCAACAATTTAGTGTTTTTCGACACTTTGTTTGTGCTGCGTATCTGGAGTTGCAGTGAGCAAGATTCGAGCCACAGTGCGTGGCTAGATTAGCAATGGAGTGAGTATTCGTCGACGTCATTGTAATCGCTGCTTCTTCGTCGCCCTGTTGAGAAGCGCCAGGAGCGGTCAGAATAAAGCGGACGGAGGCTGCAGGAAAAATTGCACTGTGGACAGAAAGGCTCTGAGCACCGTCTCGTGCACACCGCTCCCTCGCATAAAACCCAAAGGCGGCGGATTCGTAAAGGGAGGGGGCAGGTTTTGACTACATTCCATTGATGAGGAATTAAAAAAAAAAAAAACATAAAAAACATAAAAAACAAAATAGGAACTTAAACGCAAGGGATGATCGTTGCTGCAACTTGTACTGATGGTTGCACTGTCTTCCGAATGAGGTGGCTTGACCCTCTCCATCACAGATCCGAGCGCTTGTGTACGCTGCCAATACGATCCAAAGCGGAAGGAATTGTCTAAAAAAGAAAGAATTAGAGCGTCGCTGGTGCAATGGCAATGGGCACCGAAATGGATGGGCGGAGGAGGCCAAAAAGGTCCCAGAAACGGCTACTGGATCCTTGCCAACTGGTGGCCATCCGGCGACGATGAAGGCGAGGAGCCAGATCCTCGACTCCAACAAGACCGTTGAGATCCGTCTGTCAAGACAAACCGCCAGCTCCGTCCCGAGTCCTCCCCCGGACCCCGGAACACTCAAACTTAGCCTGATCTATGGCCTAATATAAGGCGACCCAGTCTTTGAATCAACAGCTGATCGATTGAATGATGTGTGAAACAGGACCAACGTCATAGAGAGTAATTTTAATTTCCAACTGAAGGACCGGTTGGGTGTAGCTTTGAGGCAATTCCAGTCGCGATGAAGCAGCTCTGCCCTCCGAACTCGTGACGAGAGGAGGCCGATTAGAAGCATCCGACGAGGTTTCTTTCGTTTTTTTATAGATGAAAATCGTGTAAACAAGTCTATTAAAAACCACTCCTGCCACCCCCACAACCGCATCCTCCAAAAATAAACAACAGAAGAATGACGAGTTAATGGGGCCATCAATGAGAGGAATTGTAGTTCTCAAAAGTGGATCCTGCGTGGTCAAAACCAACACGACACATCCATCACCTTCAGAAACACATGAGTATGCACTGCGTAAGTGAACAGGTCTAATTCAAAAAACTTTCATCAAAGCCCAAGTAAAATCGACAACTTTGACAATAAGAAAGAGGGAAAAAAAAGAAAGGAAAAAGACAGAAACGAATCGATCCTCAACCGAAAGTCGTCCATCCATGATTTTCAACCAACCGAGTTGAACAGGTGTTGGAATTCACAGTCTAATCTCAGTGTCTCATACAACTTGTGTTCATGGGATTCACTCTCTGTCCGGCAGGACAAGTGCATCAACTGTACTAAAAATTCACTGGATCAGAATGGTGGGACACATGTCCCTTACAAAGCCGTTGTGTATACGTATAGTATCGTAGTTAATACGGATACAAATCCACTTATCATACGCTCCGTGATACGTACCCTAGCACAGCACAGGCATGAATCAAAAGAACGGCCTCGACGGTGCCGAGTATTCGAATGAGAGCTCGCGCGTCCTGCCCTTCTGCAGCATTTGTAAAACCACCACCGCGGTCCTCCTGAGCTTCACGGAACCATCGCGCAATCGCAGCTCGGACGTCAGTTTGTAGGAGCAATCCTTTGATAGCATTGGTTGACGTACATTGTCTGAACAGAAAGGTCTTAACTCTAGAGTGGAATCACTGCTTTGCTAGTTGTTGAGCTCTGCGCGTGAAAGGCTGGCTGGTTTGTGGGGTGCTAGTGGAGATTGGAGGAGGAGCATTGCGAGGTTGAGTTTGTGCCCGTTTGTGGGGTTGGGTCTAGTCGAGAGCCAGCTTTTTGGGGTCTGAAGGATGTGAAGCAGAGATTTCGGTGAGGAGGAGCATGTGTGTAGGTGATTTTTCTTAGGGAGCAGTTGGTGGGAGGCAGATAGGCAGAGATGTCTGGTGGTCGTAAGCTTGTTGTAGAGATCACCTCGGCCAGGGATCTTATGCCCAAGGATGGGCAGGGCTCATCGAATGCGTATTGTGTGGTGCGTTTCACTGCATCCCGTCTTCTTCGCCACTCCATGATTGCCAGTCATTTGAATGGTTTTGACGTGAGGAATGTTTTCGGTACCGTATGAGGGAGTGGAAATGTGGTGAATTTGGTTGGGTTCCAGGGGGTTACTTGTGAGGTCTTCCTTTCGGAGAATGTCCTCCCCCGTAAATTAGCGCCATTTTCAAGCGAATTGCAACAGCTGTGATTATTCTAGTGTTGATAACGTGCCTGACCCACAGCTGGACTACGACGGTCAGCGGAAGCGAACCAAGGTGAAGACGAAGGATCTTGATCCAACATGGAACGAGAAGGTAAATTCACGCACCACTAATCTGCTTCTTAATTTCCCGCCAGCCAGGGAAACGGCGTGATTCTCTTCCAATTAGATTCCTATTTAGTTTTGTATTCGGCCTTGAGTGTTAGGGAAAGTCTTGATCAAGATCTATGATTGGAATGTGAACCCTTTAAGTGAAACATGTTGTTTGCCGCACTTGCGGAGGGTGAGTGGGCGAATGATGTACCTAGCGCATTAGATCTTTGGGACTCAGAAATTTTATCCTGACGTATTCATCAAAGCCTGTGGTTCCCTTTGGTGCAGTTTGAATTTTTGATCCATGATCCGTCCATGCCTGGAGACTTGGAAATCAATGTCCAGAATGATAGGAACAACGGAACTGGGAGGCGGAGTAGCTTCTTGGGACGAGTGGTTGTTCCTGTTAGTACTGTACCTCCGAAACCAGAGGGTGTGAAGTGGCACCCATTGCAAAAGAGAGGACTCTTCTCGCACATCAAAGGCGACTTGGGGTCAGTTCTTCCGTCTCCTCACTCCATCTTTAGTGATAATCATGGGCCCGCACGTTCTCATTCCTGTCTAAACATGTGCTTGTTTGTGGAAACTCTGCCCCTATAGGATTCAGGGGCTTTTTCAGTCTTCTCAATTTTAACTGTTCGGGAATTGAAGTACTGTATTGGGAGGAACCGATGTACATGATGTGGATATAACATAAATGGATTGTGTTAATTTCAAATGCTGGAATGGGATCGTTCATCTATTTAGTTCCTTTTGCCACCATGAGGCCTTTCGTTCCCTGATTAGTGCACATCAATCGTGTACATCCAGGCTCAAAGTTTGGTGGGCGGTGGATGAGCCTCCAAAGTCTGATGGCGAGAAGAAAAAGAAAGAAGGTAAGGCAGAGGGGGCCAAAGAGGAGAAGGAGGGAGGTGGCGGTGGAGGCGGCAAGAAACAGAACAAGGACGGTGGTGGAGGAAATGCTGCCGAAGATGGAAATGATGGAAATGAGGATACCAAACCTAAAGGTGGTGGTGGAGGTGGCGAAGACAAGCCCAAGAATGGAGGTGGAGGTGGTGAGCAGAATTCAAAAGGGGGCGGTGGAAACGCTAGCGGTGGTGGTGCTGGCAAATCCAAAGAGGTCAAGAGAGAAGCCAAGGCGGACAACCAACCGCAGATGCCAAGACCCTCTCTAATTACCGTTCCCGAGGCAGATTTCACTGTGAAAGAGACGAACCCCGATTTAGGAAAAGCTGTAGATTACAGACAGCATTTTGATCTGGTTGAGCAGATGTCCTATCTCTTTATCCGCGTGGTAAGGGCACGGGGCCTCATGGGGAAGGATGCGAACGGGTTAAGCGATCCTGTAAGTGTCCCATGCCAAGGTGTCACACCTCACTCTTGCAAGGAGCTCATTAGGAAAACTTGATCGAGGTTTTCTTTTTTTGAGTAGTGCACTTAATGGTTGACACAGAATGGTTGATCTTCGTCAGATCTGCCATTGACTTCTGCCTCTGTTTTTCAGTATGTTCGCATAACAGTAGGAGCTGTGAGAACGGAGACGAAGATCATCAAGCACAATCTTAACCCAGAGTGGAACCAAGTGTTTGCTGTGGGGAGGGATAAGGTTCAAGGCGGAACTCTTGAATTGTCCGTCTGGGACGCGGTAAGATTGCTGCTCCGGTATGTGATTAACACAGTAATGCACCTTTTGTAATCATGTCATTGCAGTAAACAATCTGTTCCACCGTATAATTGAGCGCTGTATTTCTTACAGGACAAGCAATCTAAGGATGATTTTCTCGGCGGATTTATGATTGCCCTCTCCGAGGTTCCCGTACGAAAGCCTCCAGAAAGCCCTCTTGCACCGCAATGGTACAGGCTAGAGTCGAAGGCTGGACCGGGAAGAGTGAGAGGTGAGTTCAAGTTGCTTTTATCCAGCTTACAGATGATATTCTATTAACCTATCAATTCTAAATAGAACTCCAGTATCACTTACTGTACGAAGAGTGAAACGATGGCTTAGAAGCACTTTGGGGGGTGAGACATTTCTCTTCAATGACTCCCATGGATTAACACAGTTGCTCTCTGTCCCTGGTGGAATTGCTTTGGTCGCTTCAGGGGAGATTATGGTCGCAATATGGTGGGGAACCCAAGCTGACGAGGTGTTTCCCGAGGCCTGGCAGTCGGACACTGGTGGCCATGCTATGTTCCGATCTAAAACGTATCTTTCACCAAAGCTTTGGTACTTGCGGGTGAATGTCATAGAAGCCCAAGATTTGGGTGGAATGGATAAAGGGCGAGTTCCAGATCCGGTATGTCAATGTCATGTTCAGTAATACTTCTGAATCTTATCTTGGCAGTGTTTCAAAGTGAACGTAGGTGAATGTCTGTGCTGATCGAGGACGTACGAAGACTTGGATTGTATCTAAGCTGAAATTCCTGATGTGATTTAGTTTGTCAAAGCTCAAGTTGGTCCGTACCAAATGCTGCGAACAAGACCAGCTAGTGTGAGAAGTTCCAGTCCATTCTGGAACGAAGACTTGATGTTTGTTGCCTCAGAGCCATTTGAGGATTGGCTGCTTCTACTGGTTGAAGACGCGTCGGGTCCAAGGGTACTTATCTCAACTCAGATATGTATCCGTTCTTTGAAGTATTATTTTTCGTAGGGTTTTCAGGTCTAAATTGTGTATCTTTTTACAGGGCGAAATTTTGGGTCTCGCGAGGATTCCTCTCAACACAATCGAGCGTCGGATTGATGGCCGTCCAGTGCCCTCACGATGGTATATCCTAGAAAGAGAGGGTGGGAAGGGAGGACCATTTTTGGGGCGTATCCATCTGAGACTGTGCTTTGATGGTGGGTACCATGTTATGGATGAGTCGCCCAACCACATCAGTGACACACGACCCACTGCCAGACAGCTATGGAGGCCTTCTCTTGGTGTCTTGGAGCTCGGTATCCATGGGGCCAACAATCTACTCCCCATGAAAACCACCAAAGATAACCGGGGGACTACTGACGCTTACTGTGTTGCGAAGTATGGGCCGAAGTGGGTTCGTACCAGAACTATCTTCGACAGTTTCAATCCGAGGTTTAATGAGCAGTATACGTGGGAGGTTTATGATCCTTGTACTGTCATTACCGTGAGTGTGTTTGACAATCGGTACGTTCTAAGCTCCATTCGATGTTAAGTGTCCTCAATGGTTTTTTATGAGAGCTTTCGCGGCGGGACAGTTGAGTTTTCTTGTTGGTTGACCTGATCGATTGTGCAACTGCAGTCACACCCACCCGATGGGACCTGCTCAAGTGAAGGACTTGCCGATCGGAAAAGTTCGGATCAGGTTATCCACTCTCGAAAGTGACCGGGTGTACACAAATTCATATCCTCTGCTGGTTGTTACACCTCAGGGAGTTAAGAAAATGGGTGACATAGAATTGGCAGTGCGGTTATCTTGTGCATCAACAGCTAACTTGATGCACGCTTACCTTCAGCCTCAGTTGCCGCGTATGCACTTCTTCTACCCAATTGATCCAAGACAACAGGAACAGTTACGAGTGGCGGCCATGAACATAGTGGCATTGAGGCTCATGAGATCTGAACCTCCATTGAGGCAGGAGGTTGTTCAATTCATGCTCGATACTGAGGCCGAGCGGTGGAGTATGCGCAGAAGTAAAGCCAACTATTTTAGAATTATGGTGTGTTTTGTAACTACTCTAACACTCTTCATTAGCTGTTCTACCACTTATTCCGATTTTCAGGGGAAGCGATCACTGCCTATCTATTCTAATCAGGTCTTTGTTGCTTCGCAGGGTGTACTTAGTGGCGTTTTGGCAGTAATGAACTGGTTCTCCGATATCTGTAGTTGGAAGAGCCCAGTGACCACAGTTCTCGTGCACATACTTTTCCTGATACTAGTTAGATATCCGGAGCTCTTAATGCCTACTGTGTTTTTGTACATGTTTTTGATCGGAGCTTGGAACTACCGCTTCCGGTCACGGACCCCTCCCTTTATGGATGCGAAACTGTCACAAGGGGAGTACATCGGCGACTTAGACGAGTTAGAGGAGGAGTTCAATGTTGTACCAGCTAGTAAAGCGCCAGAGGTACAAAGAGGTTTAATTCATTGATTTACTGATTGTACCAGTTCGGAGGTAGAATTTGGTTACTCTGTGGCAGTCTTTCGCTAACCCCAGTTGATCTTGTCGTTCAGGTATTAAGGTATAGATATGAGCGGCTGAGAGGAGTGGCTGGTCGTATTCAAAATGCACTCGGTGACCTTGCCAGCATGGGCGAACGGCTTCATTCGCTCCTTAGCTGGCGTGATCCCAGGTGAGTGAATACTCGCCTGAAGTAGCAACTTGCTTTGAGGTGCACCAATTGGGACTGATCTATTTACTGAGTTAACTGCGCTTAAGATAATATATGCTCGTGAGACTAATCCCTTTCACTTTTGTTGTCTCTCTTACCTCAGGGCCACTGCAATGTTCATCACATTCTGCCTGATCGCTGCTATAGTACTCTACGTGACGCCTTTCCAAGTGGTTGCAGTGCTCTTGGGGGTGTATGCATTGCGGCACCCTCGGTTTCGCGACCCTTTGCCTGCCCTGCCAATAAATTTCTTCAAACGGCTGCCGTCGCAATCGGACCGTATACTCTAGTTCAGGACTCCATTGTTATTTCTTAACAAATGTAACCGTGGGACATTCGCTCACCTCTCAGTTGCAACTTTTTGTACTATTGTAATACCTACATACTGTTCATTGTAGGAAAATTTTGTAGACCCTGTCTTAAGTAACCAGCGGAGGCAGAAAGTGTAGATGAGTTAGAAACTAGGTGTCAGCTAAACTAGAGCGATTACAACATGTTCTTCGTCGCATGCCACAATTCATTTATCGGATGAAGGCTTACACTATTTATACGACTACTGGATATTGAAACTGTTGAGCTGCCTCCAAGTTGCCTGAAATTTTGTAATTCTATGTAGGATTAATGGTGATGTACCTTGTTCTCATTGAATCTGTCCATAATATGATCATAGTCCTGACTTCGAAAGCTTGAACTGAACATTCTGATGGATGGTGGTGAATATGGCGAGCAACCAAAGTAACTACTCATAATGGTGCTTTGCAACAATTGTAGGTTGGCGACATTTTAAACGTTTGCACGACTGCACGCCTCACATGTATTTCACATCTTAATTCTTCCCTTCAATGACTAGTTATTAAAGCAGCTTATCCGTTAGCTTTAGTAGAGTCACGATTGCACCTTCATTCCTCAGGACATGTAAGTTTGATAATTGGGCCACAATACGAGCCTCTCTGATAACCAGTGTCGGCCTGATAATTGGAATTGAAGCCGCACTGAGCATTTCGGCGGAAACCAAATTGTACGGCGCAGTGATCACATCGTGGGGGCCTGCGTGCGCAGCCACTGCTCTGATGCTTGTCAGACCGGACAGTTGGTTTCTCTGGACCCCAAATCGTTCAATTTTCATAACTTCTGTGGTGTTGCGCGACTGCTGAACTCTGACCCCATCTACAGCACATCCCGAATTGCGTCCCGGCTCTTCAGTGCTAAGAAACTCCGTCTGCAGAGCCTTCACTCCAGATTCCAGATTCTTCAACCTCCCGTCTCTGAAGTTCATTTGTGTTCTACCCGTTCAATCAAATATTAGTTCATGAGCCGTCTAACATGCAACTGACCACTGAAAAAGCGCGTTGTCGATTGGCGGGCCTTCTCGTCAGTTCAGACTTCCAAGGGCAGTCAGAATGGAATAGCTTCAAAGTAATGGGATCCTTGCGGTGCAGGTTGCATTCCGCCCTCCAAAACTCAACATCAACGCTCTATAAATGAACACTTCAAGCCATTCGAGTTTCACCGCTGCTCTGTGAAGCAAAATCTGTGTTTGTAGACCTAAACCCTAGTTGAGTATGCATTGGAAATGTAGGAAGTTACCATTTGTCTATACAGAGAATGGTAGGCTCCAAAAAGGGATAGGTATTGAAAGCATGAGGATGGCTCGAAGTTACTATTTTTTACGTTGGTTAATTGTACAACGTCGCTTCTAGAATCAAAAGTTGGTTTATTTTTATTCTTTATTTTATTCTATTTTATTTTTGTTGAAATTTATACTGATCCATATGAATCACAAATAGAACAATCAAATAAAAACATCTGCGGTGGAACTGTCGTCTTGAAGGTATAATGCGTGGGTAACGAACAGAGTAAAGACGAATGGATGAAATTTAACCTGTCATCCATCATGGCTCCCCTCTATCTCTGTCCCTAGAGTCGGCCCGCCCTAGAAACAGTGAATGAAGTTGACGTCGTGGACAGACAGAATAATGTAGAGCCCGATGAATTGCCGGGCGAGGTGAGAGGTGGTCACCGGGCAACTCGACGCTGAGGGGAGGGAGGAGCTCGCTGACTTCGGCGGCAACGGTAACACAATCGGAGCCGTCGAACCTCCGGAACGTGGATCTAGCAGCGGCAGGGCTCCCGAATTTGAACCCCCCCCCATGTCGGATTCGAGCACGTTGTGATCGTTGACGAGCCTATTTTTGGCGCTACTAGCGAGTCGCCTTTTGTCCTGCAAATTGGCAGAGGGATGTCGCAGGGGTACTGGAGTACTGGACGAGCTTGCAGCAGTAGAAGCAGGCCAACTGCCAGCGTCCGCATCATTGTAGCATGATTCCATATCGCTTGAAATTGACGCAGGGATTAGTTATCTGCTGGTGGCCTGGTAGGGCGTGAGTGGAGCGTAATATGGCTTTGGGGATCTATTGAGCCAGAGCTCATGTCTCTGTACGTGCGTGTTGTCACGTTTCAGAGGTGGCCGGAGACGATGCTGTCCCGTGCTGGATTTCGCTGTGTTTCAAATCGTAGCGCCGGAGTTGCTGCCTGGTTTTGCTGCAGTCTGAGAAGAGCCAATTTATAGATGGTTTTGTTTCTCGATAGTCACCGTAGTGGCAGCCTTAATAATGGGCATATTGCTTCACATGGATGGAGCGAAGAATTGTCCCGGAGGCGTTGTTCTGTGGAGAGCCTAGTCTGTTGCGTGTGAACAGGAGCAAGAGGAGCTGCCCGTAATCGCTGTCGCAGACTTGCGAGGGAAAGTTTGAGGCCGAATCTGCACCGACGAGATTTTTCAGAGGTTTTGGAGGTACTGAACCAATTCTCTGATTTCTGCTGCTGCAAATGTAGGAACCGTATATGAAAGATGAGAGATGAAATACTCTCAACAATGCGATGGATAATTTCAGGGTAGCCAACAATGTTCCGCATTGCTTGAAAGCTTCGACCTCCTGCGACTAGCGAGTATGGAGTCTTTCACTAAGAGCGAGGATGACTTTAGTTAGTAGGTAGCCCCACTACGTCGCCGTTGGCAGTGTTCAATGAGCAATTTAAAACTATCTTAAAGAGAAAATCTTGAGTGTGGTCATGTGATGGTTGAAAAATCTAGTCTGAATGCGAGTCCTTTAGACAAGTAGTGATCAGGTTTGCTGTGATGATCAAGTTTTCAAATGAACTCACTGAGTTGTCTTCAATTATGAGATGGCAGAATTCATCAGCATACATGGGAAATACTGAAGGCTTCTTCCCTGGTTGCGCACAGCACCACTAATCAAGGCGGTGCAGTGTGCTATGCCTAATCAAAGGATGCCAGGGCGGAAGAAAGCAAACCTTGTCCACAGCCCTCGCAACCCTGGGCTGGCCACTATCATTGCGACTCCAGAACTGCAGAAAGGAACATGTAAAGCTCGAACAAATTCTACATGCCACTCCTCAGTTAATGCAATAACTCCGGAAAATGGTGCCGCACCTGTGTCTGGGCGAATGGAGGATGGTGCTGGAAAACAAGGGAACACCAAAGGGAGGCCAAATTCAGGCCTACTACTAAGGGTTTGCCTGGGAAGTAGTGTTAGATCGTATTCCCACTCTACTGCTGCTGAAGCTAGAGAAGCCTGTCGAGCCCCCTTAGATTGCAACAATGTAATGCGGGAGCTCATCACAACCCCATCCTCTCTTCCCTGTTCGCCCATTGGTAGGCAGCGAGTCCTCTCGGAGAATCTGACAGCTGACGATACAATCGGGAAATCTGTATATGGCTCATTAAATGGACGCCACATTAGCGCGAAACTTGCTGCAAGTGTGACTGGCATTGAAGGACGATTTGAGGCCGAGGATACACAAGTGTGTGAGGAATTAGCTCCCATGTACCGCGTTATTATTCTTGCTCTATTTACGACTGCCGCCTCAGCAGTCAAGGATAAGAACAGGATAGAGATTCAGAGACTCTTGAAGATTGTGGCTGAGCAGGTGGCCTTTCTGGACACTGCTTCAAAATTTAGCACATTCTGTAGAGGTCTTACAGCTGTCGATGGAAATGGCATATGTTCCTCTAGCAACTACTTGATATCACAAACAATTTCTGGTGCAAGGCTAATGTCTGTTCTATGTTTTGTGCAGGAGAATGAACTTATTCTCATGAGGCAGCAACTTAGTAATCGGTTTGGCTCTCAAGACATTACAGAGCCGTATAACCGCCCTTCAACTCAAATTGTAGGTGATTTGCCAAGCTTGAAGAATCTCCAGTGTCCTGAATTCCATGACGTAGGGTGCTTGGAATTGGACGACGCGGTTAAAAGTGTCTATACCAAAGTATTGGAAAGATCAGATGTGAACAGTCTGATAGACTTGAGACTTAAGTCACCGTCGCCCTGGAATCAGGGCCTTCGGCTTGGGGATGGTGGTGATTTATTATCAGAAGAGGACAGTGAAGTAGCTAGAGATGATGCTGTGAATAAGAATGTGGTACTCGTGGAAACTCCTGGAAAGGAATCGAGCGCCGAAGACGTTCTAACTTTCTTGCGTGATGCCAACTCTATATTCGAAAAGTGTCTTGAGGACGAAGAAAAATGGTATGTCAACCCCATGGCAGGTACAATTGAGGACTGCTACGACGTACAACGCACCCCTGAGAGAGAAAACCTGAACTTCGCTAAGTACTCACCCTTAACTCGACGATCACACGAGCGCACTGCTTTAAAGCCATCAATCGGAAACAGGCGCGTGTGGAATGCAGATTACAGAGTGCTCCCTCTAACAGAATTGGCCCCTGCGTCTCCCTTGCAGGTAATTGGTGCGCTTGAAGCAATGAATTCACAGATTTTATACTTCACAAGTGTCGGAGCTGGTCACACTTCCGGAATGCGTTGAGAGGATGGGGTTTATATATTATCACTTTGTTAAGGAGTTTTGACGTACCTTGTTGTTTTGAAAAATTCGCACGCATGCGTACTGCGACTTACACGGAAGATCTTTATTTGGATGGCCCTGGCTGCAGGTCATTCCATGCCGGCTATCCAAGGAGTCTGTTACACTAGTTTCAGATACCAGGTGTATGGACGAGGAAGTTACAGCACTCCGTGTAGAATGCGCTGCCGTTGTGCTTAAATTGAAGGTACTGCACATCGTCGACTGCCGTCTTTGGTCCGAAATTTGTACCTTGGAGTTCTGATAGTTCCGATGATTAATGTGGAAATCTGTCAAGCTGTTGAAATGTTGCAGAAATCCTTAATGCTCTCTCATATTCACCACTTAAGTTTTGTGCAGAGTAAAGTGATGACGTCTCTAAGGAAGGAAGCCGCAAGATGCTTGGCAGAGCAAAACTTATACTCAACTGAAATGAAAATCCTAGTTGCCGTGCTTCTAGCAGCAGTTGCTAGATGTTGGCGAGAGACGGTACCACAAGCGCTGGCTGCGCTCGGTCTCTCTCCGTCTGAATACAACAGCTGCCTTTTAAACAATACCCAGGTGCGAATGATGTTTGTATTTGGTTTACTGTACGTCCTACACTAAGAACATTTCCAATTCTCTCGAAATACTCAAAGTTATTCACAGGAAATTCCCTTGATGACATGTGCTGGACACTTTCCTGCAGCGAAAAAAACCAAATGTTTCAGAATGTGCCAGAGACACTGATGGCTGGAGACAATTTTTGGAGGAGGATGACACTAATGACCACGAAGCTGAGCAACGATCTAACCGAGTGGCCGCATTGTGCTTATGTGCCTCTAATTTTGAGCAATTAAGTATATGCAAATCTTCAAAATATAATGGGAGAGAGGAATCACCAGAAATGGAAAGCACGAGCTTCTTTTCATGTGCTCCTGAAGAATGTTTCAAATCATCAGAGAATATCGAGGAAGGTGAGCAGATCGCACCCGATACAAGTTGCAGTCATCAGCATTCAGAGGAATCCCCAGAATCGCTAGGGAAGTTCGTTAGCTGCTGGGAGAATCCCTCAAAGTGGCTGAAGAACACATCAGCTCAGGTATATCTCCATATCCTCTAGTCATCTAACCACGATTTTGAAGGTGAGGATTTGGTGTTATCCTGGGATCAGAAAAGCATCTCCTTGAATGGGTTTTTTCTTTTGTGGAAGTTCACACCAAGCGCTCTTATTCACTTTTCCTTTTATCTGAAAGGAATTATCTTGCGTTCTAATCCGCTATTGAAATGGCTTCAGGTAGCAGATATGGAGTTGCAAATGAAGAGGCTACAGCAAGATGTCTTAAAGTTCGAAGCAAATTGGGAGATGAAGGAACAGGTCGTGTACTTGGCATGTGACTAAGAGCTTTAGGAAGGAGCATAATCATGCTCAAGCAGAATCAGCGAGTCATCGGAAGTGCTCCATGCTTAGCTTTGGATGAAAGAAGTATGCTGATTGGCATACTGAAGCTTTCTTTTGGGAGAACTTACTGGGAACGAAATATAAAGTAGACATAAATACTGACACTACACCACTCATTCTCTTCACGGCGCAGAGCAACTTCGCAAGACGTTTTAAGAGACTGTTCTGTCCTTCCTTTAAAGTCCTCAATTTGTTCTGTCGTGTTCGATTGTCGGATACTGATGGAACTGTGTGTCCGCTGGTGTGTGCAGACGTATTTACGTGGCAATGTTGTGGAGCTTGAGTCTAAGGCCACCGACGTTGCGGGGCTTCCTCAATCGGAAGTATCTACGTATTGTGACCGAAAGCGTAATCATGAGGTACGAAATCTTTAGCAAGCTATTGTATTCATGGTGTTTTTGGATTTGAAATGACTTATCATCATTTTCATTGGCGCAATACGCTTTAAGCATCTGAGTTCTTTTGTCGAGGTTCATTTCTGCTGAAGTCGTACCTTATGATTATACGCTGACGACTATTTCTCTTTGTAATGTGCAGGCTAATGAAATGGGTTTTGCCGAGCTGAGACGAGAACTTCGGTGGAAAGAGAGAGAAATTGCAGAGTTAAAAAGTGAAGTAGAATCTAGAGAAATTTTAATCGCGGACATGGAGCGGAATCGCAAGGTAAGCCACTTTGCTTTGAAGAAATTACTGCATCATTCTGTCAGTATTGACTAGAAGCTGGGTGATATAGCTGTGTATATCTTGACTTCGTTGCTGTCTCATATTTTTCCTTTGCTGAACGTGATAGTCTTGCTGACATGGATCAGATATCTCAATTCAACTGAAAAAGGAACAAATGTTGTACTATGTTGCAGGATCTTATGCAAGCTGAATTTGCGGAAATGTCACGACAATTGAGGTCGAAAGACTACAAGATTTTAGAGTTGAGTAGTGAAGTTCAGTTGAAAGGCCTCGAAGTTGCTGACCTAGAGCGACAAATGAAGGTAGACAATACAATTCGATGAGGTTTTCCTGGCATTAGCATTTTCCTAGAGCAAGGGCTGTAGCTACAAGTGTCCTGAACTTATCTGCGCTTTTCAAGAAAACCGTCACTAAATGTCGCGTCTATTCCTACACAAATGTGACTGACAAACGGGACATACTTATTTTAAATGATATCCAGGTAAAACTGCACACGGATGTGGCTGAGATGACACGACACATCCAGTTAATAGAAAGCAAGTTTTTGGAGTTGACGACTAAGCTACAATCAAAAGATGTTGAAATAGCGGACATCGAGCGCAACCAAAAGGTAACGGGATGTCCTAAACGCCCGTATGATCTTGCTATTCGTCTGCAATTTCCCCATCTCTTGTTTCAGTCGGACATTTCATCCCAGGGTAACCACTGCATACGTACTCTACTGTACGTTGGTTTGTTGCTGTTAGCCTCGAGAGTCTCAACAAGCTTAATTTGGGCTTATCTGGAATGCGATTTTGAGGAATGCAGGAATTCCTTTTGGCGAAGGATGAAGAGTTGGCTGCATTGCGAGAGGAATGTCTTCGGGGTCACGCTCATCTCGACAAAGTTGCCACTGCTGCACAATCAACGGAAATTGAAAAACTATCTGTAAACTCTCAACTCTTGCAAAGGGTCTATTTTCGTGTTGCTTCTAGGCGGTCTATTGTAGATTAAGAATATCAAGTTCATGAACTAATAACATACATTGGACTCGGTTTTCACCATATCATGTATATCAACTGTTGTGTAGCCTATCATATAACAATAGACTTGCGGGTCATTTTTAAAGGGATTCTTAGATCTAAGTAATCTTTCGTTATGTTTTTCATCTTCAGCGTCTATTCAATCTGCATTTGTATGAGTTCACATCTTAAATTAAGATGCGGTGTGCAGATGATATCAAATTTGGAGAATCTTTGTGGTTTCAAAGACAACGAGATTTCTAAACTGAAGCAGGAACTTCGAAGTGTCGAAATGAAAGTAAGCCCTATTCCAGCTTTCTGTTCATATTCCAAAGTCATACGTTTCTGGACTGCGTACATCGTGTTCACGGACCATCTAATTGATACGGGGAAATCGAACTGACTGACATAGTTTTACAGATAAATTCATTCAAGCCATTCCAATCTCCGACCAATAATTATGGCCGGCGAAGTTCCAAGAGCAATCACCCCTCTCAAGTTAATGAACTCGAAGTGACCCTGATTGACTCGCAAGAACCACACCTGCATCCAACACCTCAGAGTCCTAACTGCAGCATTTGCCGGCAAATTGAAAATCTCCACCCCCTCGCTTTTAGTGAAGACGAACCTTCTATAGCACCTACAAAGGTTTCAGATGGTTGTCTTGCAGCAGCGTATGAGGTGGAACACCATGAACCATGCTATATATCACCTCCAATGCCTCCAATACCATGCTATGTAGAAGAGCAATTGGATCCTAAGGAATGCGACCAAGGTCTACAAGGCGAGATGGAAGGACTGGCTGGGGCTGGAGTCTTCATGTCGCACGATGCCAGTTCACAGAATCCAACAACCCTAGCACAGACAATGAGGCCGAGGAAATCGAACAACGCCGTCTTGAAAACTAAAAGAACAGGTAACAGGTTCATGGAATTTGGACTGAGCTCTACCTCCAGGAGACTGTTTCCTCAACATTTTCGTATCATTGAATGTCTACAGGTGTGGTATTAGAAATCCTTTCAGATAAATGACCTTTTATTCATAATATTTAACTCTGACTGTACCTCCTGGCTGTGTCAGATCTCCGTCGAGTGTCGATGTCAACAACTGGCAAAAATCCACCTGGTCCAAACCGGTTGCGGGCCAGTTTGACATTTACGTCTGCAGCACACTCACAACGGAGTGGGCTGAAGCACCATTCCAAGGGCACTGAGAACCCTGAGAAGAAACTGGTTCACAAGCCTACGAAACTGAGAAGGAAGTTAGTTGTTAGTCCACCAAGAGCTGGTCAACCTGGTGTGAAGGTGCTAGGTCCCGTTTCGAATACCTTTGTGAAGACCATTAAGATCTCGGCAGACCAGAATCACGGCGCCAACCCCCTCGTTAGCGATGCAGATGGCAGACTGAAAGAGAACTCTGCTTTCAAACGTAGACGATGGGCGGCATGAAATTCCGCCTCGATTGGTACCTATCACTACCTCTCGTGGAAAGGAATACTGAAGCTGTCCCGTAGAGGGATATGTATTGTTTCATAATTGTCAGAATGTTGACACTAGAATTAATTCAATTTTAGCTTCCATCTTGGAAGCGGCAGTGGAAAACAAGCCAGGATTATTATCTGCAAAGCAGTTAGCTTTTTCTCTGATTATATTGATCAAAGTACAAATCTAAAAAGAGATGTATGGATGTGTGTTTTTGTACTTTTGTAGTTCTAAATTTTTGTAAAGTTTGTTACAGTGATGATACAGTACACATGTAGTACATTAAATTAGGAACATTTCTCATAAAATAATTTGATACAAATTCCGATTTCAAAGCTCATTAACTTCACAGTCTGAATGTAAAATAACATGTGTATAAGTATATTTTGTGAAAGTGTGTCCAACCTCTATGTGCAGAAATAAAAAAATGGTAAAGAACGTTGCACGTTTGACAATTTCTTATAAAATCTACTGATCTGTAAAAAATGGCGTTGACTGTGAGGTATGTGCATTGGTAACTATACACAACGTCGAATCAATTCGATAGATTCATAGGAAGCGAAGTATTTAAACTGAGAAAAAATCAAAATAAACTGCATTCATTTCACAAGTAACATTGTATGCAAACGCATACTGTATCACATAAGCTTATTTGACTGTTCACTAATCTGCACATGGGCAAGTCTTTCATTTCTGCCCAACACGTTTACTAGAATCGCATTACCAATATATCATACACCATCTAAACTCAGATGAGTTTGTGATACTTAGCCTACATCCCATACATCTGTCTTACTTGTGTGCCACAGGTGTCTGCCCCTTGCTTGGATTTTTGTGCAGCTCAATCGGGTTGAAGTTCTCAGTAACGCTATGATTCCAGACAATGCTAAAGTCGATGAAAGCACATGCCAACTGTTCACCTTGCTCTCCCAAGATCTGAAGTTTTATTTTGTAGTTTCCCTTCAAAACAGAAAGATAATGATTAATATAAGATGCTCCTCATTTGCTAATAACAGAGCTTGTTAAAATATTGCGGGAATGCTCATCTACGCGACTCGTTACTATGGAAATAAGACTCGCACAATGGGAAGATCAGCATGGACGCAAAGCTAGTTGCAATATACAGCGACAAAGTTATATTGAAACTGCCAACTAGTTAAATGTTAGAATTCGCAGACATTGTATAAAACTGCAGGAAACATACCAACACTTACCGGTGGAGTAATGCCTGGGAGGATTTGAGTGTTAATTAAAACAAATTCCCCAGGTGGAATCGGGCAATCTGCTTTGCTACAGATGCTGCTTCTCTCCGTATGAACAGTAACGCCATGAAACAACACACTTACAACCACAGTTGCCTTAGTGATATCCCTCTCTGCAAGTTTAAGAACCATTCACCACGTCAGGTAATCCTGCAGACAACTAAGAGGAATCGTGGACACTGGAGACAAGAAAGGTTCAACCCGCTGTCCTTCGCACCCAGTCACGGAACAAAGAAGCGCATAATCGAATGCAAGGTACTGCAATAATCTGCTGAAGGCATACGGATAAAATCACTTACTCGCGGTAGCAGGCACAATAAAAGTAACATCCTGGCCTCTAATAACGGGATCAGGGTTCAGTGTGACATTTGTAACCACCACGTCATAGTTGGCGTGGGAATCTGCACGCAAAAGTTCCTGATTAGCGCCACAGTCAGTATCAACAGCGTATCCAAATATCATACTTAAACAAGTACAACAAATACCCTCCACATTCTACCTCTCTAGTAGAGTATATCACAAAGTATACATGGATATTGAACTCATTCAACTAGATCTCATAGGGCAAGCTCAAAGAAGAGATAAGCGTGGCATAATAATGTAAAAGTGATGTAAATGAACGAAAAGCTGCAAAGGCATATACATAAATTCAAAATACATCTCATTCGCCTACGTTCTAAGCAGGAACTCAACCACAGGTATATCATACACTACAACAAGATGACACTTGCGTCATATCTCTTCGCACGAGTCGCTAATTACAGAAAAACCAGATTAAACCGAGAAGCTGTAGCAATGCAGCCATCCACAGTCATGCTAATCATCAAGCGCCAGCATAACAACCGGCAGTATGATACCTCTATTTTACCATAAAAAGAAACAACACACAAATCTGAGAAGCTATGCAGCACCTTATTCACCAGACTACTCAGAACAGTTTTATGATCAAATAAATCGAAATAGAAGCCATAAACAATAGCATCTCGAAAACCATGAGCGTATAATCATCTACAGACGCTCTTTTTGCACTTCGTCACATGCAACCAAAAAATCCCGTCAATGAAATAGCACTAAAAATTTAGCAGATGATAGTCTCGAAACCCTCCGATCCAAGCCTCTTTCACATCTCTACATATGCACAAAATCCTTCCGCCAACTACTTACAGATACACGTCCCTAACTCACTCCAAAGGGGAAAACCTCTATAGAAAACAGAAACCTCTCTGCAATCCGCAAAGCAAGACTTAAGAAGAGTCCGACGATGTCTTCAGCTTCACTTCAAATCGAACTCATTTTGGAGAGCTCTAAACTTACCGCAAACCTTCCAATCGCTAGGTTTAGGATTTGCGGAAACCGACACCGCCGAGAGAGCCGTCAGCAACAACGACAACGCCAGCAAGCTCACACATCGCGCCATTCTGTCACCAAAGTAAGGCTTCCGAATTTGCTTCAACGAGATCCTCGACTACTTCTCTGCGTGCAAAAGCTTCGATTATTTCCTTCTTCGTCTTCTCTAAAAACACGATGCCGAACCTTCTTCACTAATCAAACTTACTAATCAGGATATTAATCGCTAAATGTATACTAAAATAAGATAGAGGACCGATGCTGACATGGAGCTCACTAATCACACAAGCGATGACGATATGAGATCTTATTGGAAAAATCAAATTGTTTCATTTACGTACACGAAGAGCTTTTTATATATATATATATAGATATAAAGGCATTGCTTTGCATTGTAAGTCTAAAAAAAGTTGCATTTATTTATATATTTCTTGCAATAGAAAAACTTCTTTCATTGGATTTTTAAAGGAAGAATCATGTTGAATGCTCTTTTGGCATAGTTGAACACAACATGATTCTTTCCCCCTCCAAAAAGAAAAATAATAATTCTTTTTATAAATGTATGCACTAATTATTATATTTTAATTGCATGGGTGTTCTACTAAGCATTTTTGATCTAACGAGCCGCAGTAATATAATAACTGTTTAGAATACAAAGTAAGTAAATACATAATAACATTTTTACAAGATTCTTATTGAAATCAAAAATTTAAAATGCAAGTAAAAATATAATATCTAAAGAGACGTATTTTTTTAATAAGCTAATTGTTGAATTTTTAAACTTATATTACAAGATTGCAGTTAGATATCATCTTAAGATGATAAATCGTGCAAAATATTTTTTCATAGAATAAATTAGCCTACAAAAACAACATGATTCTCTAAGTGTTATCTTAGAAAGTATTATATATACTTGAAAAAATAAATGCCAAATTAAGGTATAACAATAATGTGTTTTTATATTTGAATTTTAAATTTCTAAAAATTACAGCAAGATGTTATTTTAAAAAAAACATTATAAGATAAAATTTCTCAACTAATTTTATAGTTATGATAAATATATAATATTTTCCAGAAGAATCCAACATCACTTTAAATATAAAATTATATTTAGTTTTTCGATTTTTTATTTTTTATTTATAATTTAGCTTAATATATCTCTATTTAAAAAATTATGAAATCGAAAAATTTAAAGACATTAGAAGATCAAAGAAAAGTTAATCATTATACTTTATAATAAGAATTAAAAATATAACCTCATTCAATACATTTTTGACTTTATAATTACTATTGAAAAAGATACAAGGTATATTAAAAATACATGTATTTTTTTTATATTGCTTTTGTCTTACATCTTGATTTGAAGTAAATTAAAATAAAAGTAAACTACTTATAACTAAACAAAAAAATCTACATTGCAGTAGATTAAGAACTTTAGTTAAAGAATATACAAAGAATAGTGACACTAGCAAAAACTTTGTTGTGCCTTTTGATTTACAAACAGAAAGGAAAGAAAAGAAAAGAAAAGAAAAGAAAATACATATATATATATATATATATATATATATATATATATTGGTAAAAGTTGGTTTAAATTTAGTTTTAGTAGACTTAAAATTGCTTGTAAGACAAATATACTTTCTTTAGTTTTATTTACCTCTTTTAATATTTGATTGCCATGTGGATGAGTTTCTTGAAGTATCTAAAAACAATTAGAAATATAATTAGATATATTTTTTTTGAAAAATTGTCAATCTGAATCTTAGATTAAATAATTATAATTGATTCACTACAAAGCTAAAAAGAAATGAGATATATGGGCTAGAATTTTGAAAGAAGCAATGACATATGTTTTAGCTAAGTAGAAAATTACAGTATTTTAATTTGGATAATTAAATTAAAATTTATTTCTTAGATAAAATGCAATGTAAGCTAGACCAAACAAGAATTAACTACAATAGCTCAATTATGCAATTCAAAAGCATTTTATCAAATAATATGGAACAATCTAAAGTTACAACAAATATTACAATAGGAACTTTTAGGCTTTGATAACATTATACGAGGATAAACTTATATATATATATATATATATATATATATATGTATTTAAAATATATAACTTTAGAAATTAGAAAAAAATTCAAATAGAACAAAGTACTATGGTGAGATACATTGCTTCAAATTTAAGAATAAAATAGTAAAAATCATGATTGTTAATAAAAAAAAAAAAAGGGTTATTTATTTTTCTGAATGAGAAAATATTAATAAATTATTGATATAATTATTTGAATATATAATTATTTATATAATTAATATATGTAATTATCATTCATGTGTTTTTATTTACCAAAATATTTAATTTATACATTATTTTTAACTTGATTTACTTCTATGATTATTAAGTATTTTATTTGAAAGATAAATAGAATTTTAAAACTTTTGATCTGTTGTGACAACTAAAGATTAGTTTAAATCTTCAATTTGTAATTGTTTTATACGAAGATCTATAAAGAAATAAACCATAATGAGTATTATATCTCTTGAATTAATAAACTATTTTTAAACTAATAATAGTGCATGCTAAATGCCAAATCTATATATTTTTTATGTAAAGAATTAATTATATTGAAAAATATTAATTTGAGCTTAGAATTAAATTATTGAATTTAATGAATCTAAGTGTATATATGTATGTAAGAAGCTCTTATTTATTAAAGAAAAATATATGAATTTTTTAGTATTACATAGCATGCAACAAAATTCAATGGCACAGCATGAATATCACACTTTTTCATAAAAAATTTAAAAATATATATTTTATAAAAATGAGGTTTTAACCAAAAGAGTTGTTTTGTACAAGACATAGTTGAGATTCCATATCTATGCAATTATTTTTATGTTATAGTTATTGCATTAATGAATTCTATACATTTTGTAAAAAATTGAAAAAAAAAAGAAAAAAGAAAACTTGGATCATACTTTTATTGTGTATTTTAAATAAAAAAAAATATATTTATTTCTATAAGATTATATATATATATTATTATATTTCATAAAGATTTCAAAGGTTTAAAATATTAAAAATAATATATATATATATTTTTTCTAATTTATAAAAATAAATATTCTATATAATTCTTATAGAAGTATCTTTAAATTTAATATAATTCTATTAAAATAGTCATGTTTAGAAAAAAAATGATCTTTATAAAGATGTGTGTGCATTTCCTTCAAAAAAAAAAAATATTTTTTTAAATAGATAGAAATAAAAATATTCAAATATTAAATTTATTTATAAGTTTATAATATTATATGAGATTATATTATTATAATATACAAGAAAATAGAAAATATATGAATAAAAAGATAATGAAATATTTATGACCTAAATAATATAGAAATTAGTAGCTTTTTATAAGACTTACACAAGTGTAAGTTATAAATAGGTATTTTTGTATTAAAATAGATGCATTAAAGAAAGTTGTGGTAGAACATTATCATGTTGTAAGACAACTATATGGTGAAAGATAAAAATATGGATTCTATTATAGAAGAACCTAGTTGAAAGATGTAGTAGCAAAACATGGTTAAAAGACAAAGAGGTGGTAAAAACTTTTAGTATTAATATTATATTTTTATTAAAAAAAGACTTCTACTTACTTTTTATAGCCATAAATAAGGCAAAATAAAGTAAATTAGAAAAATAAATAATTTAGGCATCTTTAGAAAAAAATTAAAAATATTTTATAGGAGAAATTATCTTAAGAAATCAAGAATTGATACCCATAGAAGATCAGTTGAGAACCAGGGTCAAAATCAGATCCTAAGGCACAAAACTACTTATCTATGGCAATTCTAGGATTCTTTGGCAGATCAAAGAGCAGGATTTGAGAGCAAACTAGAGCAAAGATCTTTGGCTCTTAATTTTGTGTGATATAAGTTTGTAATGATTTTGTAAAAACTTTGCAAACCTAGGGTTGTTTTGGAGAGACTTTGGATTTTGAGAAATATAAAAAATTTATACTTTGGAGAATTTTGTAAGATTGGTAGATGATCTATAAATGATATTTTGTCAAGATGTATTCATAGTTGTGTTGTATGTGTATTGTAATTTTGAGCTTGGTTGAATGTTTCATTTGAAGGTTATTGAAATTCAAAATTATTGGATTATGAGAAATTAGAGTTTAGAGGATTAATGAAAATTATCTAAGATGTGTAGCAATTTGCCAATTGGATTAAGATATATATAAAAAAAAAAAAAAAAAAAAAAAAAATTGCACACTATTGGTAGACTTGATTTCCAACAATTGTTCAAAGTTTAAAAGCAATTGAATAGTAAAATTAAGAGATATTGGCACCTGGAAATTGGCATCAAGATTGGAGAAGGAGGTTGGCTAATACTCAAGCAGATTATAAAGTTTATTTTCTATTTGGTAAGTTCAATCTTCTTCAAATTGTTTATGCTTGTTTTCAACTAAGTAATTGAGAGTTGTGCAAATTTTGAGTCAAAATCTATAGTTAAATTATTCATTATTAAGGTTTTAATCTGCAATAGGGTTTGGCTTAGGATTTAGGATTTTATTAGGATTTGGTCAAGATTTACTTAGGATTTATTTAGGATTTTATTAGGGTTTTATTAGGAATTATTTAAAATTTCTATTTTAATATTTGTTAGATTTTTATTTTAAGAATTTCTTTAAGATTTATTTAACATTTCTTTAGATTTGATAAAGGTTTGATTATAATTGTTAAGGTTTAATTAAAGTTTATTTAGGATTCTATTAGAGTTGTTAGGACCTTGTGGTTAGAATTTCTAATTTACCTTCTACAACCAAGTGTTTGGTGCTTTCTCAAGCAAGATTTTATATAATACGACAATGTAATCAAAATAATATTAGAAGTGGTGGATATGGCTTTGCAAATGAGTAAATTTGTATTGGTTGTAATAAAAATGACATAGTTATATTAATACATATTATAAACAAGATAGAATAATTCAAAGCAAAGCTTAAAAGTGCAAAATAAGTGAATTTAATTTATTTATTTTCCTTAGGATTGAATTTGTAAAGAATTGCACCAACTTTAATAGCACCTAAAGCCAATTGAAATACATTGAGGAGGTATTTAATTTTTTTTTTAAATGGATAAAACAAACTAATTAAAAATCTTTTTAATTTCTATTAGACTAGAAAACAAAAATTAAAGATTATCCATTAAAGATTGTAGTAGACTTGTTGATTTATGCCTTAGTGGCTACAAAATTGATTTTTTTATTCATGGTAGGTGTGGTAAACCAAAATATCTCAAGGACTTGTTTTTAGCATTAATTAATAGTAAAGAGGATTATACTACACCTTAATGAGACTTAGGACTACAAATTATACTATAAAATTAAAAGTTCTACCATAAGAGGGTTTTTGGGATGTAAATTAAAAAATAACAAAAATGAAGAAATATTAATCGTAAATTTGTATTCTATATTAGAATCAAAACTATCTTATGACTTACAAAATACAACTCATTGTTGCATATTTTACAAAAAAACAAAAAACAAAGTATATGTCAACAATCTGTTTGACATAAGAACATTTTAAAAAGAATTATGATGAGACAAAATATTATGGAATAAATCACATAGTAGTTGATTTACTTATTAGAGCACTAAAAAAAGAACAAATTCACACACTAACAAAAGAATTGAAATTTGAGATATTTGCCTACTTACACTTCAAGTGTTGAAGGTTAAATATCAGATTTTATAAAGTATTCGTAAAATTAGGTTGCTTGAGAATAAAAGCTTAAAGTTTAGAATAATGGTTTGATAGCAAAGATGGCCAAATTTACTAAAATCAATTTCATGAAAATTTGAAAAATCATTTGAATAAAATGACCACTAAAATTCTCAACAAATAAAACCAATAATGACTACAACTACATTAATATCCAAAATATGAATGAACTATGAAACATGAAATATGAACTATGAATAGAAACTACCAATAGATAATACTATTTACATATGTTGTTATCAAATCAAAATTTGATATGAAAAGAAAAGAAAAAAAAAACGAAAACAAGTATTATGTCATTTTTTTTCTTTAAATAAACTTTCTTCTAAAAACATATATACCAATTGCATAAAATGGTGACTAGCAGCATCTTTTGTATTACAAAAAAAGAAAAAAGAAAAAAAAACCCCACATCATCGTGCCTAAACTCGCATCCATTATACTCTCAAAATCCATATTGAAAGAAGATTTACCTCAATTTAGACCAGATAAAATTCCACGAGTTTCCCAACACATTCACAATAATAGTAAGCATATTGACGTGCAATATTGGTACAAAACCATGCCTTTTCGAGATCACGGAGATATATAAGTTGGGTACCATTAAAAAAGTGCAGTTCAGAACGGTAGCTATTACAGGGACAGTATGGGTAGCCAATACGCTGAAATGTCATTGTGGAGAGCCATAAATGATTCTATCATATGGGAACCCTCAGAAAATAAAGCAGTGAAGTGCGGTGCAGTGGCAACGCCTTCCCACTATCTGTTAATCAAGAGACCGACAATTTTCTACACAACGAAGCTAATCGTAGGGATCTAAACGGGGAAATTTTTTCACCCCCTCAAGGTATTAACCTTGCCTTGGAACAAACTATGTTCCTTTATATCTCAAGTACCTCTTACAAGGGAGGAAACAGACTACCACTTGTGTTGATCCTTTCATAAGGTCATCTATGAGACTCCTGCCTTCCTGAGAGACACTATGCGTGTAATGAAAGCACTGAGGACTCCTTCGAATCTCTTCTATGAAAAATGACGATGCAATTTACAGATCGAACACCCGCCTCGTGCCCATCTTCAATAAAGTTCCCTGGCACCCGCCTAAGTCTAACTTAGCTCAAATATAAGCTGTTTAACAAAGTCAAAGCATTTCAAAAAAAACCATCACTCACTTGTTAGAGGCCGGTTCAAGCAAAGACACCGGAATCGAGCACGCCCAACTTTAGTTAATAGCTCGCCCTGGGCTTGCTCCAGCATCTTTACCACCTGCGCAAAGCTGGGCCGGACGTCAGGATTTGCATCCCAACAACGGGTCATGATATCAGCAACATTTGGGGGACAAGTGTCTGGTATTGGGGGTCTGACGCCTCGATTCACCACTGCAAAAGCTGCTTGCACTGCAGTCATATTTTGGAAGGGTAACAGGCCTGTCACAAGCTCCCACAAAACAACGCCAAAGCTGTACACGTCCACCTTATGATTGTAGGGTCTGTGCTGAATCATCTCCCTGTAGTAACAACCACCAATTTAGCTCTAAACAATATAAAAGGTGGCTTTTTTCTTCCTCTCTTTTATTTTTTGTGTCTTGTTCATAATGCATAGACCTAAAGCTTTACAAATGTCCGAAACCCAGCGTCTGCTACAGTTGTTCAAAATTGAATCACATCCACGTCGGTTGAACTTTAAAAAGAAAGTGTGAAGAAGTCCAACAAAAACAGAGATTGTCGACATGGTACCAAGATATAGGTATCTTGTTCTTGCGCTTGATATCAAAGAAAATAAACTATATATGATGATTCAACATATGAGGCAGAAGGAAGGAAAGGATAAACTGGTGTAATCGTTCATACCAAATAAATAAAGATAAACATAGAGATCATCAAAAGCAGGGAAAAGGGAAAGACATCGGTTGCAAAATACTCACGGAGCCATCCATCGATAAGTTCCCGTCTCTGGAGTCATGCCCTCGACTTGCACTTCTATCCTAGCAGCGCCAAAATCTGCAATCTTGATAGATTTATCCGTTGCAATGAGCAAGTTGTCGGACTTCAAATCTCTATGGATAATTTCCAGACTGTGTAAATACTCCATGCCCCTGGCGACGTCCAGAGCTTGTTTCACTGCGAGCTTAAGCGGTACTGCTCGAGATTGCCGTTTACTCAAAAACGACCGCACTGATCCTCCCTTTGCGTATTCCGTAACTATGCACCAGACCATAGGCTTACGACAAGCTCCAATGAACCGTACCACATTTTGATGCTTCACAGCTGCAAGCATGGTCACCTCCTTGGCAAATGCAGACTCCATCATTAACTGCTTCTCGACGTTATTCTCAGGTCTTTCCAATATTTTGACGGCTACATCTTCCCCATTGTAGGTCCCTTTGTATAGTCGACCGAATGCGCCCTGCGCAAAAGGAGCACCCATTTGCAGTCGCCTCAGATCAATAGTCCAGTCATCGTATCCTTCCAGACCTTCGGTTTGATACCTGTTGCAATATAATTGGCAATTAGCAATAACCCATAACCCTTACAGTTCTATCGAGAGCGACGTTCTCCTCATTGAACCCTGAACCCAATGTGCATTCACAGAGGGTAAATTGCAGCCACTACATTAAGGTTAATGCATGCTTCAATAATCTGACGATACCTACGCAAGCCTTGCACATCAATAGTTTGTAACTTCCGGAGGGTCAAAAAGTGAAGAACGAGAGAAGCCCTAAACGAACCTTGGGTCCATGAGAGCAGCAGCTAATACATCTTCTCCAACGGTATGCGAGACAATGCCTGGCATGACCACACTATTCCCCACCGACGCATTCCCATTAGGTGGCCGTGGGTGGAGATCACGGTGCATAAGACTTGTCCACGTGGAATTCTAAGCTTAGGATCCCACGCTACTATCCGCTTGTGACATCATTGTTACCGAGTTTCCACCATTGCTCATGCTCATCGGTATGCTTCCAGTGCTCGACACAGACATGTCAGAGGCTTCCTGCAGCCTCCGATAATCCATAAAATCATCCTGAAACGTGAAGAAGTCTTGTGTTGTCATGGTCGCATACCTTTTCTAAATCCTACCACTAAGATATGCCGTGTCCTCTTCTGCACCCGACTCTATCCCTCTGCATACTTAGAAAAAATACCCTACAAGTTCCATCCCTGTATCAAGCTCACGCACTAACAGCTCCCAGTTACAGCCACGAAAGATCACCCGCAGGATGACCTACACCTCAGCGAGGAGCTCCACTGTCACTGCTACCCGCTTGGATCCATTGCCCTAACCACTGCACCCACCTTCCAATCTCAACATCTGCAGCCAAAGCGCCATGGCTCGCATCCTTCAGCAGCCTCTTCCTCCTCCTCCTCCTCGTCTGCCAAACCAAACACCACACTCTCATTTCGCATTCACACCGCAACGATTCCAACACCGACGCCTCTCACACCCTCGGACTCCCCACATGCAAACATTCTCCGACACTCTCCCCTTCCCGACCCCGACATCACCCTTCCCAAAACCCAACCCTCCATGCCTACTAGATCTCTCTCTCTCTCTCTCTCTCTCTCTCTCTCACCACCTCCCAAGCTCCTCACCACCTCCCCCACCACCACTTCACGAGACCCTTCACATTACAATCCCAACAACATCACCGAATTCTCACCCCCTCCGCCTCCCACTTCGCATCATCACCGATGCCGCGTGCTACACTCACCACACCCCCAGATCAGACTGTTGTTAGTCCTCCTCCATGGCGAGCTCCTCCTACCCACATAAACCGCACCAGAACAGCGGCGAAAGAAAATTGTACATGTAATAATAGGGGAGAGAGAGAGAGAGAGAGAGAGAGGGAAGAAGAGTAAGAAAAACTAAAATACCATATAATTGTGCCGCAAAAAAGGAAAAAAGAAGGTATTTGCGATGCTGTTGCTCTCAAGCAGTGGATAACAATGAGGCTGAACAAGATGGGCGAGCAACCGAAGTGAGAAACAGAAGCAAGCGAGCGAGAAAAGCAAGCTATGAAAGAAAGACACAAAGCAAGGCAAAGCAAGGCAGACACGGCGCACCGAAGCCCTGAGGAAGGGATGCAATGTAGATGAATGTAATATGGGTGGATGGATGAGGATTGCCCTTCTTCACCCCCTGGTCACGGCGTCCCCACTCACCATTGATAGACTTACCTTTGTCTTCTCTAGATTTGGAACCGTATCTAGGATTCATGCCAGGTCACCAACTGGGCCGGTCGACCAAGAATCAAGCCGTTGGAATCGGGATAAAGCCATTGGGTTTCCCGCGGGAATAGACCCTTCTCCCTGAGGTCTCATCTTCGGCCGCATCGGACAGGGTCGTCCCCTAATGGCGCGGCTATCCTACTTCCGGAAGTGTTTAGGGGACCCATTTTAGCCTTTTTGGAATAGCTGCTAGTTAATGACAAATGAATTTTTTCCTGTTGGGGGTTCAAATTTTGTTCCACTCGCGAACGGAGGTTATTTATAAAAATATTCAAAAATCCCCTCGGGAACTTTTGGTGATTTTCTGAGATTTATATTTAATATATACTATGAAGTCATTAACTGAAAAGTTGCGGTTTTGAGGAAGCTTCCACCAGTCATTTTAGTTCACATGGATTTGATTTTGTGGATTTCTTTTTGGAGTTCAAATTTTGAATTTAGTTCTAAATTAAGAGTAGTATAGTTTTCTTTTCATTAAGTTCAACAGAAAAACTAATCCTAATTCCTCCCGTAATAAGCTTATGTTAAAGACATGCATAAAAATATGCTTATGTGAACACAAAGCATTTCAAAGGATTTTTTCTTTTTATTTTTCATTTGAAACATACCAAATCACAATTTCGTCATAGTCACATTGCATTTTTATATTTACCTTCATTTAAGTTATTTATTTATCAAGTATTTGATGAGTTTTTTTATTAATAAATAAATATTTTTTTAACGTGGTTGTATATATATATATATATATATATATATTTCCATAATTGAAAGAAGGTATAATACCTTTTTACTAGTAAATGTTTTTGAATTCTTTCACTATCCTATGATAATATTGGTCAAGTATGGTATAATTTGGGAAATAAAAAAGATTAAATTTTGCTCTTCTTTAATTGAAAACACCATTCAATAAGATAAAGAAGGATGGATATTATAATAATATTTAAACAAGAAAACACTAATTTAAACATAATAAATTTATTTTAAAAAATATCTATTTTTTCAAATTTATATATTTTTATTATGATACATTTAGAAAAAAAAAAAAAAATTAACTTAATAAAAAGACATAGTAATTTTGATTCTTAACTTCTAACTATAAGTATGTACATAATTTTTTAATCTTTGATTTGTGTCACTTTTATCTATATATGTATATATATATATATAGGTATACACAATTATTAGAAAAAAAGAAAATAAATATAAAAAGATTTTATATTTCTTGTACATTAAGATTACAATGAAAAAATTATTACGTTATTTTTTTATGTTAAACTATTAAAACACAAACAAATAATTAATTCTCTCTCTCTCTCTCTCTCTCTCTCTTTCTCTTTCTCTCTCTCTCTCTCTCTCTCTCTCTCTCTCTCTATATATATATATATATATAAATGTTTTGTAATGTTTATATAAAATCTTATAATATATATTCTATTATAAAAAATAATTATAAATTAATACATTTATAAATATAAAAAATTCTAAATTCTATGATATTTAGAAAAAAATAAAATTTGGTGGGTTTTTTATAATATAAAATTGTCTAAATTACAAAAACTTGACATTATATTTTGGTAATTTTTTTTTTTTTTTTTTTTGATTTAAATTTAACAATATATACAATCCTTGTTAATTCTTTGATATATTAGAAATTTTTATTGTAACAAATCCTCACTTTCATTACATTTTTTGTCACGTTTTTTTATTTTCTACTATAACAAAAGAATGTTTTTCATTATAGTCTTTAAATAACTAAATAAATTGGTAATCCTTGCTCAAAACTTACTAATTCCAGTATCAATAAGAAAAAAATAAAAAATAAAATTTATAGAAATAAAATACAAAAATTAATCTATATCTGTGGAACTGTAAAGGAAGTTATTGCACACTATACATCAATATCAATCAAAGATTTAGGAAAAAAGAAAACACATCATATATATAATTAACAAAAAGAATTGTATATGAATGATGCATCAATATGAATGTGGATTTAAATGCAAGAATTATGAAGTTTATTGTTTAAAACAATAAAAATAAATTTCATCAAATACTAAAAATTTAACAATTGTGCAAAAGAAAAGTGTAGAATAAGTTATTATCCTACTTCCAACAATCTTTACTTTCAAATAGCCAATACATGTTATAGATAGATTTTTTCCATTGGTGGTCTTTATATGTTCTTAGGTTGACTTCTTTAGAATTGAAGAGCCACCAATCCTATCTAAAACTATAACAATTTTGACCATTAGATATTCTTGGATTGACTTTTGTAAATTTAATAAGCTCAAATATACTTACTACACAAATTCTAAGCATTGCTTAATATGATATCTTTTACTCTTTGTTGTCTTTAGCTACTTACAACCTAATATACTAAAAGATTTTATAGTAAAAATAGTAATATTTATTTGGTGGAATGTTAAATAGACTCAAGTTTTTACTAAATTGACCTACCCATGGTTAAGGATATGGTAATTATGATGAACATAGTTGGATTTCATTGATTTTGGGTCCAATAGTAGAGAAATGAATCCAAAGTTTTTTTTTTTTTTTTTTTTTTTTTTTTTTTTTCCATAATGGTTATGATGGGTGGATCAATTTGGTAAAAATTTGGTTCTACTTAATATTTTTCTTTATTTTTTACTGATTATTACTTAATATATAAAATTTATCTTAAATCGAATAAGATGTTAGCATAGATTATACCTAGAATGTTCATAATGCATTAAGATGATTGAAGAAAATTGCACAAAATAATAAAACTCATTTTTTTTTTCTAAAGAATAAAAAATTATGAAAAAATTTTAAAACAAATTTATTGATATTTTTCTATCACGCAATATTTCTTGCAATATAAATTCAAATTTAAAAAATCAAAATTTATGTAAAAAAAATATATTTTATATTTTTATAATTAGAAACAAAATTCTTATTAAATATTGATTAAAGTTTTATATAGTAAAAAAATACACTAAAGATATCAACTAGCAAAAATTTCTCATGATTTATTTCATCAAAAATAAAATAAAAACTAAATAATATAAAAATATTTATTTTGAGTGAAACTTGTTTTATATATAAATTATACTAATAAATTCTATAATATACTAATCTATATATTAAAAAAAATCAAAAAGCAAATAAAGTACACTAAAAAAGATAATCAACGAAAAATATATCTATATATAAATAAAAAACACACACACACCTACACAGTAATATAAACATGATATAAATTTGTTGATGGTTGGCCTCTTTGTACTAGTGAAGGTAGTTACAATAACTATAATAGAACTTCAAATTTGTTTTAGTAGAATAAAAAAGACCTTAATAAAAACCATATAAAGAAATTATATATATATATATATATATATATATATATATATATATATATATATATATATATTCAAATATTTATACATCAAAGATAATAATGTTTAAAAAAAATATAATATATATAATATGATGCTTCAAATTGGTCCACGTTAAATTTAATTTTATATACTTTATTAAAAAATACTTAATATTATATATATTATATACTTTAAAATAAATTAAATTTAATTTTAAATTAAATATACAAAAAAATATTAAAATAATAATTAATTTTATTATTATTAAAGATCTAAGTCTACTAATTATTATATGTATATATGTAAATATATATATATATATATTTAAAAATATTTTTTAATAATATTATTATTAGCTTCAGTATCCTAATATAATAAAATGAGAAAGTAATTTGGTTAAAATAAAGATATACTTACAAAAATAAATTTAAAAAATATTTATGAATATATATTTAGATTTTATTCTTAATAAATTATATTATATTATATTATATTTTTAATAGACTTAATAAAAATATGTTATTTTATATTTACATAAAAGATAAAATTTTATAAACATTTATATATTTTTGATATTTCAATAAAGATCCTTGATTTTTTTTATATGTAGAAATACCCTTGAAAGTTTAGAAATTGTATAAAAAAAATTTATTGTACAAATACATAGTTATAACCATTATTATTATTTTTTCTTTCTTGCTTTCTATTTCTATTAATTGCCATTGATATTGATTTCAATACTATAGATAAGTAATTCTAAATATGATGGTTCAAATTGGTCCACGTCAAGTCTAATATAAGTGACCTTTCTACCATATTGGCTGTGTTTAAATATGCATGTGTTCTAACTAGTATTTTTTTAACTTTTTTGATTTTTTTAATTTTTAATTTTCTTTTTATATTAACTTAAAGGTTGTTTATAAATGAAAGGCAAGTATCATCTAAATTTGGTTTTTTAAATTTTTGACTACCTTTTTTTATTGAATTAGGCTCAATTTTATTTTTTATATAATCTATATAAATATATCACAATATTGAATATCATTAGGAATAAGTTCAATATTATACTGTAAATATCCAAAGTATTTTTTAAAAATATATATAATAATAAAAAATTGATGCATTGCATGTTCTTTTAACTATAAATGTGCATGGACATTTTTTTTTTGTTGCAATCATGCTCTCTTCAAAGTTTATAATGATTTTGATATATATTGTTTTTCAAAAGATTAAAACAGATTTGAGTATTCTTAAATAAACTTTGAGGATTTTTGACAATATGGTGTTAAGCACATGAATCTTAGAGAACTAAAAGATCAATACACTCTTGTATCACTTAAAAAGATTGAAAAATCACTCAAAGATAGTATAACATTAAATTAAAATGTATATTGCCAAAGACAAGAAGATTAAAAAGTCTTGAGATAAGATTAAAGACTAGAAGGATATTGACAAGAGTGA